CAGCTGAGCTCCCGGGACGTCCCAAGGTGCTGACGGGACCGCAGCGCCGACACACCAGCTGCTCGGCCCTGCAGGGATGGGTGAGGCACCGTGCTCACTCGCTGCACGGAAAGCGTAGGAGACTCGGCTTGCTTCGGAGACCGTCTTTTAAACGGTGGTCTCGGGCAACCTGGGGTCCGAAGGGACGTTTGCTTCCCTCCTGCTTCTGCCCCGTGCCAGTCTTCCCAGGAGGGGCGGAGCGCTCCTCCAGACCCCGCCTGGGTGCTCGTCAGGACCCTTCCGCCTTGACCAGGCGCCCCGATGGAGGGGCTGGCGGGGAGGAAGGCCTGGTGGAACCTTGTCCTTAAGCTCAAGTCCATCCGGGTGTGTGGGGAGAGCCCCAGGAGACTGGTGGCTGGTGGTGGGTGGCCCCACGTGGCCCCGTGTGTGGCGGGAGCGTGGGGAAGGTCCCCTCGATGGCCCGGCAGGCAGGACAGGTCGGTGGAGGGGCGAGCACGTGCGCTGAGCCCGCGTGGCCGAGCGGGAGCTGGCCACGTTTCCTCGCCGAGCCAGACCATAAGCTCGATGCGTGCAGCCCGGGGCTCCGCGTGGCTCCGTGGGGGTGCGGCATCGAGCAGCCTTGGGGCGTGGGTGCGAACCAACACTCACCACGGTCGCAAGAGAGCGACTCCGCTGGACTCAGAGCTGGCGGCACCCACGCCGGGTGGGCCCACTCTTCTGCAGCCAGCCTGGTGGGGAGGGGACAGGGTCAGGACCGCCTCTGAGTGCGCCGGGGGCCGGCGCTGCGCCCGAGCGTCCCCAGGCCGGGCCCGGGGGCTGCACGCACACCACCAGCTCCCCGTGAAACCTGCGGCTCCACGCCGGGAAATGACAAATGACCAAAAAATCAATTTGTAATCTGATTGGAGGTTTTTGATTTCCTCTGATGAGTTTAAATTTCATTAAAAGCAACCTTACCCCGACATAAAAGGAACCCGTGAAGGGTAAAACGGGGGATTGTCTCACCGCGTCCAAAGCGGCGCGACTCCTTTGTGTGATTTATTCACGGCGTTAATTGTGAGGCCGGCCCGGGGTCCGCTGGCAGCTGCGCCCTTATCAGCACCGGGATCGGCGGGGGCTCGGGGCGCAAGGACTCGCATTCAGAAACCACCCCGGGGCGTATCGACGCCCAGCCACCGGCTGCCCTTATTGTCTGCGGGAGGGAGGGCGGCCCCCACCGCTGCCCAGCCTGCCTCGCTGCCCTCGCCCAACTGCGTGCATCCCCTGCAAAAATGGGTCCTCCAGGCCCGGCCCGTGGTCTCCACAAGCCACGGGCGTTGTCCGAGGCCTCGTCGGGGCGCCCTGGGCGCGGCGACCAGGTGGCGCGGCTTCCGGGGGGGACGGCCTCTCCTCCTCGCGGCGGCCTCCGCGCCGCTCTTGTTGACCCACTTGATGAGTATGGATTTCATGAGGTCTTTTTCAGCATCTGAACTATAAAAGGTTCAGAATGACACCACCCCTTATAGACAAAAGATAACCTTGCCCTTTGAATATATCGATTCTTTATTAACTAGGCTGTTTAATGCAATGAAATGAGGCATTAGATTGAAGCCCATTTCGAGTGCTTTGAATAATCTTTAAAAGCCTGAAAGACCTTAAAAGGGGGCCTGGTGGTAATTGGCACTCCAGCGGAGAGAGAGGCGCCGCTTGCTTCTCGTCCGAAATTCAAGCGTGCGAGCGACCCTTGTTGTCTCCCCAGGTCGCAGGGCCCGGGCCCCTCCCCGGAGCTGGCGCCCCTGGCCCAGAGAGCTGGGGGGCAGGGGAAGCGTGCCCCCAGCCCGCCCTGCAGCCCTTCCAACGGAGCCTGGGGTGGGGGGTGGGGGGCAGGGGAGCGGGCAGGCTGCGGCTCTGAGCGGGGGGGAGCGGGGGGGGCCGGGGAGGGAGGGCCCCGGGAGCCCCGATGCTGTCTCTGAAAGGCTGCAACACGCAACAGGCAGGTGGGCGGGCGCAGGAACCCGGCCGTCCTCGGGCGGAGGCGGGAGTCACAAGTTTCTTTATGTTTTGAGTAATTGTTTCCTGTTTTGCTCAGCAGCACAAGCAATTAGGAGGACATTTGCGAGCGCTAATTTGGATCACACTTGTGCGCACGTGTGAGAGCGAGAGCCAAAACATGCGCGGCAGCCTGTCGCCGAGGAGGGGCTGGGAGAGGGGCGGGGCGGGGCGGACCGCGGGGGGCGGGGGGGGGGGGTGGCGGACCGCGGGAGCGCGCACGCCGCAGCTGGCACCGGCGTGCCGAGCAGGCCCTCCGTGCTGCTGGCAGCTGAGCCCACGGAGCTGCAGTCGCGCCCACGGGGGCCCCGCAGCGCGTGGGGTGTCGGCTGTGGCCTGGAGTCAGGGGTGGCACGGCGTCCCTCGGGCCAGGCCTCAGCCGACACCAGCACCTGCCGCCCTGCTGTCTGCCCGCCGCGTGCTCTCTGGAGCCGTGTCTGGGCCAGGTGGGGCCTGTGATGGGGAGCGAAGGAGCATTAGCTCCACCTGCCAGACCTGCAGTTCAGAAGCAGAGCGGCTGGGGATGAACCGAGCCCCGCCCTCCCCCTCCCCATCCCCCTCCCCCTCGTGGGCCTGGCCAGTGTGTCTGTCCCCAGGGCGGCTGCAAACACAGGTGGCCCCTCAGGGACCAGAGCCATCTAAGTCACTGTAAGACTCTCTCTCTCTCTCTGCAGGTCTGGCCACTGTTTGCGGACCGCTCCCTTTGTAGACGGTTCTCGCGTGAATCCTCTTTGCCCAGAGGCGGCTCCGGAACCCGGGCGTGCCGACACGGTCCCCACCGTTGGGACTTCCAACGCGGGTCCGGCCCCCCGTGCCCGCAATCAAGACATGAAATCACCCGAAGTGAAATTCACAGACAAGAAATACTTTAATTAAATATTGTGTAAAATGAACATTTTTATACAGTTAAATATCTGAAAAAATGTACAGATAAAACAATCTTATCGCAGGGTCTTTAACAGTAAAATCTACCATTTAGTGAAGCACTCGACGCCGAGACGGCAGAGCGACGAGCCGCGGACTAAACACAAACCGAGTGCAGGGGAGAGGGGCTGGCGGGCGCTCCGGGCGGGCGCTCGAGCTGGTTCTCAGCTCCAACCCCGACCGACACAAAATGAAACGGAGGCGACCGAGTTGCCAAGTCACTTCCTAGGCTTTTCCACGTAGCTAAGCCCCGCCGGCCACTCGGGGCCGAGGCGGGACCTGCTGGCCACCGGGGGTGGGGGGGCACTCTGACTGTTTACTTAGTCCCTGGAGTGAACACTTTTCTAAGTGGTGCATCGTTTTTGCTTTTGGTCGAGAACGTTTTTTAGAAGTCCCTCCTTGTTGTTGTCAGTGTGATGTCTGCTGCAGTTGGCCGCGAGCCGGCCACGTCTGTTGGGCACCCTGGGCACAGAGGGGAAAAAACGCGGCCCCCCCCCCACCATGGCCTTGCCGCGGGTTTGGCAGGAGCAGGGGCCCCCGGCTCTGCAGGTGCGGCCCGCACTACAGGGTCTGACCCGACACAAAAGTATCGTTCGGAAAAATGGAAGGCCGGGGCCATTTTCATCCCCCACCCCTCTGGGGAGGGGAGGGGAGGGGAGCACGGGGGGCGGGGGGCTCGCGGCAGAACGCAGCATCAGCATCGGACGCAGAAAGGAGTGACGTGGGAGTTACCAGGTTTGTGCTTTTGTGTGCTTTTGTGTGTATGTGTGTGTGTGAGTGTGTGTGTTTGCTCCGCACCTCTCCGGGCGAAAGCAGATCCGCAGCCGCGGTGCAGGCCTGGGGGCCGATAGCACAAAGGTTCTGGGGAGAAGTCCACTTTTAAGGCATCAGAAAAGTTCATGTGGCAGACATTTTAATTAAAACATCAGAAGTAAATTTTATTTTAAACTTTAGGCCTCTGAATTTTTCCAGTAAACACAGTTTCAGCTATGTGGCAAAAGTCATGGGTGGCAGCTAAAATGACTTTTCTTACATTCGACGGAAAGATAAAATGAGATAAGGACACAGCCCCAGACGGCGCCGCCTGCCCACGGCCGCTCCACCACATGCACGGGCTGTCCCGGGGCCTGTCGCGGCCGGGCGGCGCCGCAGCGCTCCGACTATACAGCGAAGTTTTTCTTCAAAAGTATTTGTTCAGATAACTTAAAAATAATATAAAAATAAACAATGAATTTGACTTTTCCTCAACATAAAAAAAAAGAAGGATGGAAAGTCTAAACAATAGCAAACGTTTTAAGTACAAATGAAACGCAACGACACTGGTTCCTTTTGACGAAGCAGATCGAAGAGACGGTTCTTGGCTTAGCGCGCCTCCCAGCGCCGCGGCGACGCCAGGCCGTGGCCCGAAGCCAGCGCGGACGAGGAAAAGGAAAAGAGGATGGCGGGAAAAGCAATGTACAAAATCTCAACGATAAATACAATATTTATAATTGATATGTTACAAAATAAAGTCCCTTAGCAACTGCAAGTGTTCATGGAAAAGTGTTGAATGAGACCATTTTATTCCTTATAAGACACATAAGGAATAAAACTTGTGTTTTTTTTTCTAAATATTTAAGTGACTCTGAAAAAAATTCAAGACAAGTGTATAAATATTTAGCTACAACTTTGGCAAAATCACAAAAGTCTACAATTTTATAACCACATACAAAACACATTAGGGAAGAAGGATCTAGAAGTCGAAAGGACAATTTCTGGTACAAGAAACATGGACCTCACAGTAGCCTAAGAATGCAATCGTATACAGTACTAGCAAAAGTGGGAAAAATGTCGCAGATCACGCTTGCTCAACAGGAAGCTCTAGCAGTGGGGGAATATTTTAACCAACAGACAGTAGCATTTTTTTTTTTCCTGTCAGTGTGCTTGTTGAAGGCAAGAGAATTCAATATCAAAGTTACAATTTCTAACTACAATAAGTTACAAAGTTTCATTTCATTAAGATGAAGGTAAGCAATGGGAACCCCGCCCTCCCTCCCTGCCACCCCGAACTCTAATCATGTCGTCGTCCTCTCTTCCAGGTCGATGGCTCATACCTCCTTGGCCCCCTTGTTCACCACAAAAAAATATTTCACATTATAGAGATACACAACCATTGTGAATCTAAGGATGGGTACGGGAAATGTCTGGAGGCGTTCTCCTCAGTGTCTCATGGTAACCAAAACGGTGCATTCACAAAGCTTCTCCCAACACATAGCAAGTACTAGACGGGGCCAAGACGGGGTCAGAAACTCGATACAAAATAGGCGTCGCTTTGCTGTCCTCGTTTTGCAGGACTGAGAAATGGGGAAATGTGAGAAAAGTTCGGTCAGTAAAATGGAATCGTTCATGAGGAAGTAGGCTGTTTGCATGTCGGTTCTTAACAGTTTAAATAAAATCTTTAAACAGAGTCTCTTGTCGCATTCCGACCGCTGCCGACGTATTTGAAGACGCCGCCTCCACCAGCGTGTCTCAGTACGCGAAATGCGTCCCCTGAAGTCGGTCCTCGGACGCTGGGTGCTGCGGAAGGGAAACAAAGGCCCCTCACATCGGCGGGACTACCAGCCCAGACATAGCTGCAAGAGAGAGACGGCCGGTTACCGGGGCGGCCGGGCCAGGCGGGGCGGGCCCGGCTTCCTCGTGAGCTCTCCCCCTGGGTCTCCGCGAGCGGCCCTCCGGTCACCGGCCTTGGGCGCGGTGACGGCACGGGGACCTGCTGCCGGGCGGGGATGGGGTGCGCGCTGGGACAGAGCCCTGCGGCCCGCCCCGGAGGCTCCTGCGGCTGGCCCTTCTGCGCGGGAAGGCGGAGCTTCCCACGCCCCTCCGTGGCTTGTGTGCGGCAGATGGAGGCCCAGACTCCCCGGGGGCCACTCTGCCCGCAGACCTGAACCAACCTGCCCTCTCTCTCCCTAGGTGCGAGCCACACACGCCTCTGCGTCCCCTCTGCGTCCCCTCTGCGGGTCGCTCAGTATCGTAATGGTGAGTCGCAGGCCCTCCACGGTCAAAGCCGCTGCAAGCCCCCTGCCCCGCCCCCTCCAGGCCGGGGGCTTGGGGGGCCCCCCCGAGGGGACTGAGTCACAGCTGGGCCTCAGGGAGCTGTTTTTCCCCGTCTCAGAACGAGAGAGAGACAGCCTGGTGCCAAAACGCCCAGGGCAGGGCACGCCGTCCGGTGGGATCCTGGCGCGGACGCCGCGTGCCATCTTTCCGCTTTAGCGTTGTTTGGTTTTTGTCAGAAGGATGGCTCTCGTTAATTATGTATCGCACGTTAATACATTTGTTCGTGTAGTGACGCGAGCTTCAATTTCCCAGCTCATTAATTTCAACGCCATTAATTTATCCCCGACTCACCGTTACAACCTTAGGGTGTGGAGGCCCCGTGCACGTGCACACGGCTCGCGCGGCCCCGGCCGTCACCGGGGCCCGGCACCGCGCGGGCGGCGGGTGGGCCTAGGCACCGGCCTGGGAAGCGGCTCTGGGCCGGTGGCTGCTGCTGGCCGGGGGGCCGGGGGGGCCGAGCGGCAGCGCCTGGGGGCCTGGGCGTCCCTCTCACACACTGACTGACAGAGGTGGTGAAGACAATTATTTCAAATCACTGATACCTTTCCAGTTCCTTTTTTGAGCATTAGTTCATCAAAGTGAAATATGCCACCGACTTCACAAAAGGGCCAGTTTGTCTTCTCCACGGTAGCGTCCTCAGCACTCAGCAGAGAGCCTGGCACATAGTAGGCGCTCAGTAAATACTGGTGGAACGGATTCGTGTGTTTAAAGGAGCTACTGGGTTTGTTTTTCACCAGGAGGAGCATACACCAAAGGTGTCTGAAAGAGGCCAGACGGCGGCCACTTAATCTCAGCGCCTGTGGGCCTCAGGGTTCCCCGGAGAGCCAGCTGGGGCGCTCGCGTGGCCCTGCCTGCCACGGGCAGCAGGGACCCAGAGGGACCAGCCCCGGCAAGCCTTGGGGGCCTGGATCCGCTGCCCTCCCCAGGGACGGCGGGCGGGCCCCTGGCCTGTTACTCCCAGCCCAGGAGGGCAGGCTGCTTTGAGGTGGGGCCCGTAGGTGGCATAAGGACCCTCCATCCCCATCCTGGGGCTACTCTGCTGCCTCGAGAGTTAGGAGGCTGTGACCCCGGAGCTCGGGGCGGGGCCCACGCCCTGCTCTGGCTTTGGCTCTGCTCCACTGACCACACGCCCAGTCCGCCCCACATGGTGCTGCCAGCCCCCGACTGGCACCACCAGGACACTAAGGCTCTGTTGGGAGGCTGAGGACGATCTCTCATCGCCCAAGAGGAAGACTGTGGGCGTCATCTCCGTGAGTGTGGGGGGCGGGGCTGCCTCCTGGCGGCCCACAGGGAGCATGCAGTGGCCCGGAAGTGCAAGGACTCCGAGAATGTGCCGGAAGGCCGGGCCGGAGCCCCAGGCCCCAGGGACACACCCGTCACTGGCCTCCACCCCTGGCTGTGGGGCCCGGCCTGCCCCCCAGAGGCCACTGGGGACAGTCCCGCCAGGACTGCAGGAGCCCCCCCAGGCCCGTCCTCGGCCACGCGCGCCCCTCACCTTGGAGTCCGTTCCCGTTGGCGCTGGTGCAGGAGGGAGGAGGAGAAGCTTGGGGCCGGACCACGGGCGCAAAGGCGCTCTTTTGTTTCACTGCAGAGATGACATTGGCAGGTGAGAATGAGAAAATGCCGTGCGCACCGCTACAGTTTGAAGGGAGGGTGACCGAAGAGGCTGCCATGGTGGGGCTGGACGGCACTACTGCAACAAAGCAAACACGGTCAGGACGCGCGGCGCGTGCGGGCAGCACGGCGCAGAGAGCCCGCGGGCCGCTGGGGCCGCCAGGGCCGCGGCCCGAGCGCGCCGCCTCTCTGGCGTGGCCCCTCTCTGGACGACAGGCAAGCGCTCGTGTCGGACTCGGTTCCAATTGGGCGGCCCCGCTCGGTTCCGATTTGGTTTGGGCTTCCGGTGCGGTCTCGCGGGGCCCGTGGGAGGTCAATTTACTGTCGCCACGCGGGTGCCCAGCCTCCACAGCCACCCTTCCTTGCGTCCAGTAGCTCACACCACAGAACATCCAAGCAAGGCACACATTTGACTTTGCAGTGAGAAATGAATCCGTGTGATGACGTGTGACAAAAACAGACACTTACTGCCATAGGGAGAGTTAGCGGAGGAGCCATTAAGAAATCCAGGCGAGCCAGGGACCCCTAGATTGGCCATGGCGCCACTTCCATATCCATTCATGCTAGTGCTGACTGTGTTGTAATTGGACTGCTGGGGGGTACTGCTGGGCACGTAGCCTCGCGGGGACACGCTGCTCGTATTGCGACTGTAGCCGACTGTTAAAACCCCCCCCCGGCCAAAAATAACATTATTAACAGGGAGAGACACTTGGGGGGTGGGGTTTCCCCGCAAATCTCTACCAATCATAGAGTAAACATTTGTGATTGACCTCACGCTGTGCTCGAATCCCGGCACCCCCAGCAGCCGCGCCGACCATGGCACGCCGACCCCTGCGCGTGTCATCGCGGGGTCCGGCCTGGCTCTGCCGGCCTGGCCTCGACCTGGCCGTCAGCTGCTCCCGCGGCTCTCCTTAGGAGCGATTCCCAGCAGCCCGGACCCCCAGTCTGTCCCCCACCAGGTGAACTCTCTGCCTCTGCAGACCTTCAAATGCCATGGCTGACAGGGACAGCTTGTTTGTGGCCGTAACGCCCCACGAAAGGCCGTTTGGGGGTCTTCATTTCCAGGCTGCTCTTAATCTTAAGTGGGGGGAGGGGAGGGGAGGGGGAAGGGAGGGGCAACCCGCCGCGGGGTGTGCGGGCGCGCAGGCCCAGCGGCGCGGCTGAGCTGTCTTCGGGATCACTGCCCGCCCAGGTGTGTTCAGAGGGGGCCTGAAACGGACTGAATGAACCGACTCAGGTAGCAGGCGCTGCGCCCCCCAGCTGCCCGAGGCGGGGAGAGGCGGGCACTTCTTCTCCTCTGTTCGTTCCAAACTGGGAGGCCAAGCCCTGCCCACGCAGCTCGCCCAAGGAGGGTCCCGCCAGCTGCCTGTTGTCACCGCTACCCTACGGCTCACCCCAGACTTCCAGGAAAGCCAAGCTGCTTACGAATAAACTTCTAGCAAATCCCATAACCTGAGGGGAAGCTGACACGGCTGCTAACAGGTCCTCTGTTTTGTGCACGGCAGTTGTGGGCGCAGCCACCAAGGCACAACCCCGCTGGACTCGGGACGGGCCAGCTGCAGCCGAGTCTCACCCGCCCCACGCAGGGGGTCAGGGCAGGGGATCCCGGCGGGGGTGCGCCCCACCCGGCCGCCTACCTTGGTCATTGGCTTGCGACGTCTCCGACACGTTCACAGCGAGCTGGCTGCTGAAGGAGTTCACGCCCATCATGCCCGTGTGCGCGGGGGTGTTGCCCAGCGTGGGGATCTGGTTGTGATTGCGAGGGACGCTGTACAACGCCTCTGCGATATCAGCCGCCCGCTTCAGGATGATCTCCTGGGGTAGGAGGGGCGCCTGTCACCAGAAGCCGGGCTCTGCAGGAAGCTACTGGCCCCTGGGAGCCCAGCCCCAGGCCCGCAGCTGCCCCAGGCCCCGCCCAGCGTAGGCCCCGCCCACCGCAGGCCCCGCCCACCCGGCCGCTCCACCACACCTCCCTGGGACAATAGCCGTGCGCCACCGCTGGGGGGCAGACTGGGACGAACGCATTTTTCAATGGGAAATGAAATTCCCTTGGGAAATAACTTCAAGGTGCTTCTGGGACGGCACAAGGTCTGTACGGCGCACCCGCAGCCACAGGCCCCAGCGCACGCACGGAGTCCAAGCAGAGGCCCCCGGGGCTGAGTCTCCGGGTCCCGCAGCCCCAACAGGCCCCCCCACCCCCGCCCCCGGTCCCTGAGCCCACTGGGTGGATGTCAAGGGGTCCTCTTTCCCGTGACAAGTTCTGCCTCCGGCCCCTGACTCCGGCCTGTCCTCCTCTCCTCGCAGTTAGCACGGGGACACCCACGCGCAAGAAAGGCTTTCT